ACATATACATTGACTAAACTTACGTGGCTAGGTAAAAAGGTTCATGATGCTGATGTGTAAAAAATAATGTCAAATGGCCAAAAAAAATTGCCAACTCAAATTTAAAAGGAGTGAAATCGATGGAAAGCTATAAGTCCAAGAATGGTAAATTTGTTTTTTAATATTGAGTTTTTTATTAAAAATTAATGTTGAATTATTTTCTTGAAAATTTTCATAATCTGAAGAACAAGAAACCCAAAATTGGCCAAAAAATCACATTTACTTTAGTATGTTTGATGTTCATATTGAATGTTGAATTTAAGTGACCTAAATTTAACCCTTGTTATAGTAACTTATGATTATGAAAGTGGCTTAATGTACTGTTATTGTGGATTAAAGGCTCTTTTAGTCACCTCGACAAGTAATGATAATCTTCAAAGTCATTTCTTTGGCTGTAGCAACTATTAGGTTTACATGACGTAAATTTACTTTTTTGCATATTGAAATTGTTGTAAAGTTAGTTGTAATGTTTGAAGCCTTTAGTTATAAGATTATGCTTGGTATGATAATATAATGTATAAATTAAAAGGCTAATATATGCAGGGCAACCAATGTCGATTTTTTGCTTAGAATGATAAACTAATTGAGGATGAACATATGAAATTGTGGATTGTTGATATAAGGGATACCAATAGAGCTTTGAAGATGGAGAATTCATTATTAAACGATGAGAACAGAGCATTGAGAAGAATTAATGCTAAGTTGAAGAGTGAAAATGCTTGTAACAAAATAATCATTAACATTGATGCAGGGCAACCAATGTCGATTTTTTGCTTAGAATGATAAACTAATTGAGGATGAACATATGAAATTGTGGATTGTTGATATAAGGGATACCAATAGAGCTTTGAAGATGAAGAATTCATTATTAAACGATGAGAACAGAGCATTGAGAAGAATTAATGCTAAGTTGAAGAGTGAAAATGCTTGTAACAAAATAATCATTAACATTGATGAGTTACTTAAAAAGGATATTATGTTGAAACTTGAAAATGAGTTGTTACAAAAGAGATTAAGAATGTTATGTTAGATGCAATAATGGAAGCAAAGGCAAAGACGATGCATAAAATGGCTTTTTGATGTTATCATTGTTAATGTTGTTGTATTTTGCATTTGGATTTGGTAGGGATGATATGACTAGGAATGATGTAATAGCTTTGCCCTGACTAAGTAAAGATGAATAATGTATCGGCTTTGCCATGATTAATTATGTATGATGTAATATTTAATGCTATTATCTTCTTTGTTTAATGTTATATGAATGAATGATTAATTAATTATGTATGAATGAATTATGTATTAATTATGTATGAATGATGTATTGGCTCTGCCTTGATTATTTAATGCTATCATCTCCTTTCATTCAAATGTATATCAATAGTGTAAAATTTTATTGCATCTGATTGTGTCTCTATTACATTTAATTCTAATATGTGATGTATAAATATATTTAAAAAAGGTTAATTAGTCATTTAATGTATGGAAATTTTAATCTTATAATATTTAAGTCAACTGATCCAATTTGTTTGTTTAGTTAATTTGATCTAAATTATTTAATTAATTATGTTATTATTATAATAAATTCAATTAATTCAATTTTGAGAGCTTTTTTATTATTATTGCAATTATCATTAATTTATGTAATTTAAAAAAATGAATTTAAATAAAATTGATCAATTTGCATATCTTTGATTTCTAACAACATCTAAAAAAGTAAAGTTTTAATAAAAAAGAATGTAGTATATTGTTTATAGTTGTTAATTTCATTTTGATATCTGTTGTACCAGATGATATGCTTTAGTTATATTAAAATACAATAAACTTAAGGATAATTTTTTGTATCATATTTGGGACCATGAAATATCAGTTGTTTTCGTTTAATCAGCTGATTTTGATGAATTTCTGTAGATTAACTTATTTCGGTCGGTATGTAAATATGAAACATGTTTTGTAATTTTTAACTTATGTTTTGTTTGATTATATTTAACCTAATAAAAATAAAATTAATTAACAAAATAACCATTGAAAGTTGAATTTCTTTTTTTTATTATAACTTTTTTTTATAATTTATTTTTTCAAATCAAAATACATAGGTATTTCAATTTCTTTTAAGAAAGCAATAATATTTTCTCTTTAAAGTTTAACAATCATGAAACCAAAGGGTAATTTTTTCATCTATTTGTTTTTATCTTAATATTTATATGAAAAATACTTATTTAAATATCATATGATCAGATTAAGTATTTAAAAATATTATAAAAATTTTATAATATTATTTTTTATACTTTTAAACTTATTTATTTGATTTATGAAAATATTGCATATTTATTGTACAGATTTTTAATAGTATTATAATGTACAAATTCATGTATATTTATAAATATATTTGTACTAAACCGAAATATCTTAAATAATATGTCAAAATAACTAATACTAGTATATATCATACTTTTAAAGAAATCAAAATGCATCCAGTACGATATTAACAATTGTAATATGCCACCCATTAAGATGTATTTAAAAAATAGGTTAATGCCATGAATATATATTTAAAAAATAGGTTAATGTCATGAATAACCTTAAGTTATAATAAAATGTTTAATATGGTATTTGAATTTTAAAAATTTTTAATATAGTACATTATTTATGATTATGTTAACTAATGTAACATTTGAAGAGTTGTTTGTCTGTTAAGTTTCATCATTTGAAATTAGTCATATTAAAGGTGAGTATTACATTAGTTACAGATTAATAGTTCATATACTATATTAGAAATTTTAAAATTTATTTACCACGTTGAAAATTTTATTATAATTTAAAACCCATTCATGATAAAAAAAAATTAACGAATAAAAATATAATATTATTTTTAAAATGGTTAAATACAAAATATTCTATTTACTATACATTTTTATCAGTTTGGCACCTAAAAAAATAAAATTCATAATTAAATACTTAAACTTTCATTTTATCATATACTTAGGTATTTCCAACTAATGTTATTAGTCAAATTACTGATATGGCATCAATATCCAATTAAATTATGATACATGTCAAAAAGTCTAATCATCGCCACATTATTATTGTTATATCAATATCATAAGAATTTTTTTAATTTAAAAAAAATTCTAAAACATAAGAAAATAATGTAAAAAAATTCAAAACAATTTTCTAAAAATTAAAAAATTCATAAAATCATAAAAAAAATTTAAAATTCAAAATATAAAAAAATTCCAAAAATATAAAAAAATTGTATTTAAAAAAAATTAAATAATTGGAAAATGGAAAACAATTTGAAAAATTAAAAAATCAGCAAAATTCAAAAACAAATTATTAAAACTACAAAAAATTCAAAAAAAACAACTAACAAGATAAAAAAAAAAAAAAAAAGCAACCAGTACAAAAAATTTCCCAAAAATTTGAAATATATATAAAAATTCTAAAAAATTCTTAAAATGTCAAAAATAAGAAAAATTAAAATAAATTTGAAATTTTTTAAAAGTCCTAAAAAATCAAAAAATAATAAGAAATAATAGAAAATTCCTAAAAATGAAAACCTTAAAAAAATTTTAAAAATTATCAAAAATTCAAAAAAAATAGAAAAATAAAAAATTTAAAAGAAATTAAAATCTGAAAAAATTTAGAAAAATATCAATGTATAAAAAAGAAAATAAAGTTATGCCCTTTATGATTTTTTTAGTTTTTAATTTGTAATTTTCAAGTTTTCTATTTTTTCTTTTTTTTTTTGGCAAATTTGTCAGGTTTTTAAAAAAATATTTCCTTTTTGGGAAATTTTTCATATTTTTAAAAATCCTTAGGAAATTTTTATGTTTTAGATTTCTGGATTTTCTTAGAATATGTTTCTAATTTTTTTTACATTTTGAAAATTTTTCAAAAATTTTCATCTTATGGAATTTTTTCCAAAAAATTTTAGATTTTTTGAAATTTTTTGTATTCTTTTTAAAATTTTTTTATTTTTAAAAATTTTGGGATTCGTTTTTTAAGTTTTAAAAATATAAAATATTTTTTTGAATTTTTAAAAAAATTTAGGTTTTTTCATCGATTTTAGTTTTTTAGGAAATTTTAAATTTTATTTTTTTGGAAATTTTGGGATTTTTTCTTGAAATTTTACTTTTTTTTTTGCTTTTTAATATTTTTCAGTTCATATAGGTATTTTTAATTTTCTAGTTTTATTTTTTCATATTTTTCATATTTTCCCTTTTTCAATTTTTTAAATTTTAAAAATTGTTGAAATTTGTTAAATTTTGAGAATCTTTTCAATTTTTCAAATTTTTGATAAATTTTATGATTTTTTTATTTTTTAGTTTTTAAATATTTTGAATTTTTTTAAATTTTTAAAATTTTTTCGAATTTTTGGTTTTTTAAAATTTTTCTAATTTTATTAAAAAGTTTTAGTATTTTAAAATATTTTAAATATTTTAATTTTTTTAAAAATTTTCTCTTGATAACTTGATATTTTGACAAAATTCGTAATTTTATTGGATATTTATAAAACATTGGTAACTTAACTAACATCGTATGTCTGCAGTAATAAAGTATCTGTCAGAATGAAACTTTAAATACCTAATTATGAATTTTATTTTGTAAATATTAAATTAATAGAAAATGCAAAATGGTGAGCCATTTTGTACTTAACGCAATTTAAACTTTTCTGATGTATTACAATAAAAAAAAATTCATAAAATAAATAATTTTTTGAAAATCCAAAAAATAAAAAGCACCGAAGCAAAGACCGAAGGAGCATCATAAACGGGGATTGGTGGGGGACTCGGACAGTGAAAGAGACAGCCTCGAAGAAAGCGCTCCCAAAGTGTAGCACTTCAATAAATTCAAAAAAATCCATGAAATTACCAAAATGGGTCTGAAAGACGACAAAAGAAAAACAGGAATTGGAACCCTAAACAACAAAATCAAAGAAGCCAAATCCCTCCAAAAAAAAAACGTGAGAGCAAGAAAACCAAATTCCCTCCCTTTCTCTTTCCAAACACCAAAAAACAAAAGCAAGAGGAAAAAAAAAAAAAATCTCATGCCTCAAAATCCCCCCTCTCAGCCTCAGGTACGTCAATTTTCTCCTTTTCTGTGTCTTTTTTTTCCCCCTCTATTAGTTATAATTATTTTCGTAAAATAAAATAAATAAGAAGAGATATTGTATATTCGATCAAAACAGCTGCTTTTGATCCGAAGAGTAGTAATAATGTTGAAAATGGATTTGGAATCGCAGAAGAACAATTACAGGGTGTTTGGAAACATGGCGTTGGTTGTTCCAAAGGAGCTTGAAGAATTCGAAAAGTCTTCTTCTTTGACTTCTCCAAGGCCTTTTGACATCCGATTTCAAGTCCCCAATTTCAGGGTTCCCATTAGAGTGACTTTCTTTTCTCTTCATTTTATTTTACTTTTTATAGTTATTGTTCTAAGGTGCTGTTTGGGTGCTGAGAAAATGGAGGAAAATATAAAATATAAAAGAAACAAGAAACAAGAAATTTTCTTTAGATCGCACTTGTTCAAGGCAAAAAGTGCGGTACTTGGGAGTCCTTAGAGTTTTGATGAAGCAATTCTTTTCTGCTTCAAATAGTTTTCAATTTGCTTAAACAAAATGTATGGCTGCTGATAATTATGGAAGAAATAAGAGTAAAAAAAAAAAATTCACTGAATAAAAGATAATTTGATTGTACTTCGTTGCATAGTTCTCTAAACTTTCACTTGCTGTTGGTGTTGTTGATAGAGTTTATTCAAATGAAATATTTCTCAACTATCTCTTTTTTTTTTTTTTTTGTAATTTGTTTGTGTTAAAACGAAAAAATAATAATTATTGGAAAATATTTTACAGGATTTTATGAATCTTTATGATCCAATGCTCTACAGCTGCCAAATGATTGTTGGCAGTATTATAAACAACAAAGCTCAGCTTGAATTATGAGAAATCTTTGTTTTGATGTAGTTCATTGAATGTTTTCTAAACTATTATTTACCTGCAGCAGAATAGATTTTATGGAAATAAAAAGCATCTGCATTTCAGATGGTTAACTTTTCAAATAACCTTTATCTTTTGTCTTCCTCAAGCCAAAAAGGGAAAAAAGTGAATTTTATGAATCATTTTGCTCAAATGCTCTATTACGGCCAAAAGATTGTTGCCAATATCATAAAAGCATGATCTGATTGTGATTCAGGATTTCTTGAGGACTAGAGAAGTTGGTGAGTTTCTTAGTGGAGCTTTAGCGGGGGCTATGACCAAAGCTGTTCTCGCTCCCCTAGAGACTATCAGGTCGGCAGAACAAGTTTTGCTATATGGTTATCATTTTGCAGAGTTATTGCCTTTTCCATGTATCTAATATTTATGTTTCTTTATCCAGGTGTCTAGTAAGTGTAATTTTTTTTCGATCAGCATCAAATCTGTAAAACAATATATGGAAAGTTACCTGGAAGCTTGGCCAGGGGAGGTGTACCATATAGCTTGCTGAATAGATGAAGATTTTAAATAGAACATTGAATTTATTTCCATTATGATCATAAAATTTTAAGCATGGTTGTCAATTTCATTTCTTACATTTTCCATATTTATCTCCATGCCATGGAGTATTAGCAATTTACAGAGCATAACTTGGGTCGACAAACTTTTTTCAACTCTTAAAATAATTTTGATATAAGTTTGAGAACTTAAGTGTCTATTCAAGCCTTTCTATCTGATACTGCAGTTATATAGATCTTAAGATTTCGAAAGAAACCACTCAAGTTGATTGACAATTAACCAATTTGGTACTTTCCACTTATTGTTGCTCTCAATGTTGGTTCTTTTTCCCAAAAAAAGAAAAAGAAAAGGAAAAAAAAAAAGTAAAGAAAAGAAGGAACTAAGAGTTAGGATGATGATGATGCTTGGATGCCCTATATTCTTCCTAGTATTGCATTGAGGTCCGCTTAGTATTGCTCTTTTGAATTTAAGTTAATTGGTGTATCATAGGATTGGATATTTATGCCATTTGCTTTGGTTCTAAGGCATAATAAATTCTTGACTTGCAAAGTTTTGGATATCAAGTCATTTTGGAAATCTTAGGACAGTGTGGTGTGTTGTCATCATTATGTCCTTATTCATGATCCATTTGGTCTTAAAATCTTTATCATGTGTCTGCTGCCAATGTATTTTTAGCTTAACTTTGATGAATTATGTTAAAACACTTCTTGGAGCATATTTGTTTGACTCATAATTTTTGAGTTCTGACATATGCAGGACAAGAATGGTGGTTGGTGTAGGATCCAAAAACATATATGGTAGTTTTATTGAGATAATTGAGCAGCAAGGTTGGCAAGGACTGTGGGCTGGAAATGGAATTAATATGCTTAGAATAATTCCCACCCAAGCAATTGAGCTTGGAACATTTGAGTGTGTCAAGCGCACAATGACATCAGCACAAGAGAAATGGAATCAGATTGAAAGCCCAAAAGTGCAAATCGGTCATGTTAATATCAACTTTTCTCTTTCCTGGATTTCTCCAGTTTCTGTAGCTGGTGCAGCTGCTGGAATTGTTAGCACACTTGCATGCCATCCTCTTGAAGTTCTCAAGGTTTACGGCATACCATGAGCCCATTATCTTTTTTTTTTTTTCTATTTTTGGAATAAAAAGAAAAATAAAAGTAGAACATTCTACATCAAGCTGAATTATTATTATTATTTTTTTTTTTTTGCCTTTCAATACTAGCTACACATTAAGTGCATCTAACTGTATGGACCGTACACTGATGTCTTCCAACTCATCATGTTTATTACTAAAGACTCCTTTTAGTATCTCACTTGTTTGAGCTGTTCCTAAATAGTTAAATAGCCTAACTTTGTGTTGTTTTGCACTTGGGAAGATAATTGATTCTGAATCTGATCATGTTGAAGATATCATAGCCTTTCTCACTTAATGCTTTATTGTTCTCCTTATCATTCTTACAGGATAGGCTGACTGTCTGTCCTGACATATACCCTAGCTTAAGCATTGCAATTAGCAAGATTTACAGGGATGGTGGTGTTGGTGCCTTTTATGCTGGTATCTCTCCGACACTAATTGGCATGCTTCCCTACAGTACATGTTACTATTTTATGTATGAAAAATTAAAGAAATCCTACTGCCAAACAAAGAAGAAAAAATCTCTAAATCGTCCAGAGATGCTTCTAGTTGGAGCTTTTGCAGGTGAGAAACTTGGTCTTTAGACTGTTGGTTTTGGAAAACTTTTATGGGGTTATCTGGATATCAATAATAAAGTTTGCTTCTTTTTTTTTCCTGTTTCTTCAAAAAAAAAAATAATGAAGCTCAACTTTTCCTATCCTTCCTTTTTGTTATCTTGACTATTAGTGCATCAATGCTTAACAGCTAAATTGGTTCAATTGATATGGCCAGGTTTTACTGCTAGCACCATCAGCTTTCCCTTGGAAGTTGCCAGAAAACGGTTGATGGTGGGAGCTGTGCAGGGTAAGTGTCCGCCAAACATGGCAGCAGCACTTGCTGAAGTCATTCGGGATGAGGGCTTGACGGGTCTTTACAGAGGGTGGGGTGCAAGCTGTTTAAAAGTAGTGCCCTCCTCTGGTATCACCTGGATGTTTTATGAAGCTTGGAAAGACATATTACTTGTTGAGAAGCGCATTTTATAATGGCTCCAGAAAAAAAACTTCTCGCAGCTAACTAGTCGAGACTGATGATACTTGGGGCCCCATTCTATAAAAGTGCCAGAGGGTGCTAGCATTGTAGTGGATTCAGGGTTGTTTGTGGAAGCTCTGGGATGGAATCCAGGGGCTGATGTTATGGTATGGTATTTACGAGTATGAGATGCTAGTTTTGGGGCAATTTCTACAGAAATTTTGTTTTATTTAATTCTACAGAATTATTAGGTGAGCTTCAATTTTGGGGTCACATTCAGTATTGACATGTACCAACAGATTTCTTATGTCACATGATTACCAGTATAAAATTTTTTGACCAATTTGGTTTCTAAATCATTCTTTTAATTGTTTTGCGCCTGTCCTTTTGTCATTTTCGATAATAAATTCAAATTAATTTGATAACCAACTGGTTAATCAAATTAATTCAATTTAGTTGATCAGTTCAGTTGATTAACCGAATTAACCCCACTCTCGAGTAGGTTCCATCAAAAACTGTAATCTTGAACCTAAGATATCGCAATAGCTGTTTAGAGAGTGTCTAGGTAAGAGCATCTGGCTGTTGGTCTCTAGAATAACAAATATACTTTCATTAGGCTTAGTTTGTATTCTCATATCGATCTTCAGAAGTCTGTCAGCAAATGATCAAGAGAAAGGCTGCTTCTTGCCTCCGTAAAAAGCAAGAAACCACATAAAGAAAAGAAATTTACATTACCATGCAAATAACATGTTATTAATGAATTAAAGTTTATTGACCAAGATCAAACAAAGGAAAAGTACTGAACTATAAATCTCTACTGCAACTCTACAGTCTCAGCCAAAGGATTGAAAGGATACGACAAGAATTGGCCTAATATAAAACAAAGTTCAGAACCTTTAACTTGCTGTCCTAACTGTATGTTCAAACTGCACATGCAATTACATGTTATCCTCTTCGACAGCGGTGCCATTTCGTTGCCTTTGTAACTGAGGAACACATGTTCTGATCGACTGGGAGTTCTCAGCAAGCATGTAAAGACAGAACAAGCATAATCCTGTTTCAGAGAACAAAAAGACTTGGAGTTTTCATACTTCTGATGAAAGATATGGGAACTTTTTGAAAATATTTAATCGAACAACCTAAATTCGCTAATTGAGTATCTTGTGAAACTTATAAATAAAAACTAAGTCTACTTTATTATCAGCCAGCAAATCACTTCTTACATATTTTGGGCACACTCCGTGGAATGTCATATGTAAGTGATTTTCCATGGCATTTCCAAAATATTGCTAGCAAGGTGATAGCTCCAAAGTAGAAAAATGAAACTTCTCAATGCATAAAATTAATTAACTTTTAGTTTCATAGTGCTTGAATGAACAAAAGAAAACTTGACAGGATCTCAAGACAAATAGGGTGTGCTTTATTCAACATCAACCAGTTCAAACATCTGTCATATTTTAGTACAGGAATCAAGATTGCGATTGATTTCAGTAACAGAAAAGTAAACCTAATGACCATACCGGCATAAGCAACTGTAACACCTGAGACCAATCGTCCAACAGCTGACAGTATGTAAAGACAAATAACAACCTGAAGGAAGATATGCATGGGATTAATAGTCAGGCAAGAAAAACTTAAGATAATTGCAGTGTCATTTTATCATAATTTTCAAAAGACATAAATGGAATGAGCAGTTCAACCAACACGAAAGTGGCCAGGGTTACAAGGAGTAGGGTGTTTATCTTTCAAAGCTTAGCAGTATCAGGCCCTTAGAGATAGATATTCAAAAGATATCAACTAAAGCAGCCAAATTACGATCTAAATGCTCAGATAGCTGATCTACAAGTGACTAGCAATTTAAGTTGTAAAAATTCACCCTAAAAAATAGCCTTTTGTCATGCCCAGTTGCTGCAACCCTTAGAACTGACTCTGCTGCCCCTACAGTATTAGCTAACCATGCAACAATGTTATTAGCAGCATCCTGCGAGATCTGCCACTCAAGTGGATCTACTGGTACCCTACAGAACAGCATTTCCATGATGACAATAAATCAGTCCAAGAATCAAAATCACTGTTAAAATGAAAAAGCAAAATTGTATGAATGTTCGCAGATAAATCAACGTTGCACAAATGTACATAGGATATCATAAAGAGACCATTTGGTCTACACTGAAGTGATTTGAAGAGCAACTCAAGTGATGCAGAACAAGGAAGGAAATAAAACCATGGGGAAAAGGGGAAGAAATATAGGAAAGACACAAAAAAAGGGTGGGGGGGAGAATAACAGAGAGAACCAAAGTGGAGGAAAATTTCAACACTCAATATTCAAATCTAACCATAATTCAGACCTGTTACAAACTGAAATATCTTAGGCACTTATGGGGCCTAAATAACGCTCAATATAACTGTAAAGCCTTAATAATTCCCTTACAACAGAACTGATAAAGAACAAATATGCATAAGATCAATAAAACAAAATCCTTTAATGAGCATATTCTTTTCCAGCATCATCACAATGATAAACAATAATATATTGATAATCATACACAATTTCTCTTTTCACCATAATTAAAGCAACAGAAACCTAAATTCCACAATTACTAAGGTTAATTACCCCAATATAAGAGTTAAGAGATAATTGAGAGCATGCTAAATGAGAGGTAACAATTTGGCAGGAAAATGGGATGACAGCGGGCTAAATTCTCCCATTTCTAGGAATCAAATGCAGCATTACGCCTTTGAATTAGACCTGACAATTAGTGTATACATCATGTTGTGTCTGCTTCATGTAAAATACGAAAATTATCATGTCAAATTTGTGTCAACATGCCAAAAAAAAAAAAAAAAAACACATTTTTTGGTTTTTGAGAAACCAATAAATAGTTTTTGTTAAAATTTTAAACAGCATAGCTATCATTTTTCCTGTTCTGTTTAAAACTACCAGATTTAATTTGAATGCCCAAACTTCACCGATCTCCATTAACACAAAAGAACTCTAAAACTATTATTATAACTTAAAAATAAAACTTGGGTAATTTCCTATTTGTTTTAGATTTTCATTTCTAGAAAGGAATCAGAGAATGAAACTTCACCCACACAATTTTCAGCATCAAACCCTAAAACACCAAAAAAGAAAAAGAAAACCTTAAAATGTGATGAATCAGGCCAAAGAGAAAATACCCGAGTAATAAAAAAAGAAAAAAGAAAAAAGACGTACGAGATGTTCATTTGGCGAAAGAGGAGGCCGAGAATAGCGAGGGAGCAGAGAAGAACGATTAAGACATCGGAGACGAGGGAGAGAATGCTTGAATTCCTGTAGGCACAGTGGTAGTACACCAACGAACCACATATCAGCAATCCCAATGCTTTCCCTACTTCGTTCCTCCCTTCCATCTCTTCTCTTCTTTCTTCTAATTCCTTCAAGTCAATTTTGCTTAATCATTTGGAATTTGGAGGGCTTAATTTTCAATTTCTTCTTGCTCCCAAATAGGATGTCGAATTTTAAACCTTCTTTTTCCTTGGGTTGACTCACTAACTTCTCCCGTCTTTGTGTTTCGCTTCTCTTTTTCTTCTCCTTTGTGAAATATGTTATTTAATAGTTAATTAATTTATTAATTTTTATAAGTATTATCATATAAATATAATCTTTTAATTCTATTTATGAAATTAAATAATTTTATCCATTTATAAAGTATTTTCTTTTTTTTAATAGGGTTAAATCTTAAAATTTTTAATTAATATTTACAAAGTAGGCATTTTTTTAAAAGATATAAAATATTTATATATATTAAAGGATTTAATTAATAAAATTTAGGTCAAATTATATCAAAAGTTCTATATTGTTAGAATTTAAATTTAAATATTTTTATTATAATTCGTATAACTTTAATTATTTTATTATTTTAATTTAATAATTTTAATCTAATCATAAATGATGTTAAAATTTAATAATTAAAATTATTAACGTAACATTTGATTTATTAATATGTATATTGACTTAACAGATGTGACACATTAATTTGTTGAAATTAACTCCAATGATGATATAAACTTAAAAATGTCATATGACGTTAAATTTTCCCAAGGTCAGAATATGAAATATTTTTTTTTTGTAAACCTAAATCATTAACTTAAAATCTTTATTTTTAAATATTATTTCAATGGGTGTTTTCTTCTGTTATCTTCTGGAAAGGTTTTCGTTTCAGTTTTCCGAGCTATTGACATGGCGACTTTATTTGCGAAATTAGAACCTCCTATACAATCTTACCAATATTTTATTTGGTATCATCTTAGTAATTTAGAATTGAATAATATTAAATGCTGAAATATCATCAAATTATGATTCAAAGATTACTGGACTTTCTATATTCATGAAGAATATAGAAATAAAGTATCAACTGGCGATCATTCTCCCCCACCTTCACAATTTGGTCATAATCATTTTAATGAATTTTGAATGGACAATGAATGAACGATTCAAATTAATATTTTTCAAGTAAAATTACAATAGTAACTAAAAGGGATAATTCATAAACTACCCAAAACCCAACTCCGAGACATCTATCAAACAACACAATCAAACCAAAGTTCTAACAACATAATAAATATGACAATCTAAAATATAATATAATAATATAATATAAAAATATAAAAATAAATGACATATTTTAAAATTTTAATAATAATTATATATAAATTTAATAAAAAAATATATTTATATATTTATATTAATATAAATCATAAATAATTTTTATATAAAATATATATAAATAATAAATTTTAATATTTTATACAACACAAAAACACGTATCTCCAGGCCTACTGTTGGGAAAGCAGCTCAAGCTATAAAATAAAATAAACCAAAATGAAAGAGGAATAATTTGACAGCATATGTCTAGAGGTTTTTGTGGGTTTTTTGTGTTTTACGAGGAAGAGAAAGATGCCAAGAAAGAAGAAAAAAAAAAAGGACAAGAAGAAAACCACCATGCACGGCAATTGAGCAATGCGAAACGGCGGAGAATAATTTTTGGGAAATTAAAAGGGTGAAAATGAAGATGAGGGGGAGGGGGAGGGGGACAGTATAGTAAAATTTGAGGCCCTTTCGGAGACGTGAAAATGGAGTTTTTGGAGGAAGAAGCTGTCGGTTTTAAGCCTGGATCTAGGAGTTTTGGTTATTTTTGAGAAAGTCCACTTGAATAGGAGGAAAAAGGGGAAAAAAAAGATAATTGGATAAATTTTGGGAGCAAAACGATACTAGTGGCTTGATAGAATCTGGGAAAGGAAGACTACCGATTAAATTTTAAGGAGAGTTTTTAGATTGTTTTTTTTCTTTGAGATTTGTTTTTTGTTTCAATTAGTTTATTTTAGTTTTTTTAGATAAGTTTTGGCTCCATGTCATAGATATTTAGATTAAGTTATGACATGACATGTCATTTAATCTACGATCACATTTCCCGAAATTTAACCCAATCAAATGTCACGTCATTTTAATCAACAAACATTTAAGTAACTCAAATACTACGTTAAAATATTTTATGAAAAAAATTGGATTGAGACTATTAAATAAAAATATTTAGATGATAAATTTTATATGAATTATAGTAAACAGAATAAATTTTAATTTTTTGTATAATACATGAATCTTCGGATAATTTGACCTAAAGGTTACATTTTAGCTATAATTTTAAACTTATACAGTAAACAAGTTATACTCATTTACTAAGTAATCTTAAATTAATTACTTTAAAAAAAAATTTCTCAAGAAATTATAATAATAAATAAGTTGATTGTGTTAGGTTGTTATAATTTAAGATAATCAAATTATACTAGTAATAATTCACAAAAAGTACTTTCTAGAATTATTAATTATTATATACTTCTATTTTGTTAAGTGTTAAAACATTATTTATTTATATATATATATATATATATATTAAAAAAATTTAGCATTATTTTAACAGGATTTAATTTTAATTTTTTTTATTAAAATTTATAAATATAAAGAAAATAAAATTTTAAAAAATAAGAATAAAGAAAGGAAATAAAATGGTAGACCTAAAATTATTATTTTTTACTATCACTCAAATTTTATTTGCTATAAAGAAATAAAATTATTAAAAAAAACTAGGTACCATTTTTGTCTTTAATTTTAAGTTGAATTTTGAAAATAAAGGTAAAATGATAGTTCTCTTTCATTTGTAAAAATTTTAAAAGTTTTATTTATTTATTTTAGTATAATAGTAAAAAGTAATAATTCTTGATCTATTATATTAAGTTATAATTCTCTCTTATTTTTATGCAAATTTGATCAAATGATCACATTGATACTATTTTAAAAATTTTGAGATTATCATGAAACAATTTAAAATTAAGGATCAAAATGAAATCCAAATAAAAGGTTTCAAACTATAGAATGCCCTTTAGCCTAATTAATTTATTAATTTTATAAATATTATCATATAAATATAACCTTTTAATTCTTTTTATAAAATCTATACTATATATTAAAACTCTTTTAGGAGGTTAATAGTTTGAGACCTGTTTAATATATTAAAATAACCATTTTGCCCTTAATCAAAAAAAATTAAAAAAAACCTAAAATGTAAATAATAAGAAATTAAAAATAAACGAAAATAAAAAAACATATTTGTAAATTTTTTATATATAAAAAACCTATATCTGAATCCAACAATTTCTTTTAATATGAAATCTAAACCACCAGCCCTCACTACTATCAACCACAGCCGCACTCACCAAAACAGCCAATCCTAAACTCAACAACCAATGAAAAATTTGAATCGAAAACTACCACCTAGTTAAAAAATATAGACAAAACAAAATGGAAAAAAAAATAATAACTAGCATCATTCCTTCAATAGAGGCAGCCACAAAAAAAAAACTATAAGTAAAAAATAACAATACAGATAGGGGGAGTTTTGCTTTTTGGGAGATTTAGGAGGTTTTGAAATTTGAAAATTAAGAGAAAAAAAAGTCAAGGGATGGTGAAAAATATAGTAAAAGATGAGGTTATTTGAAGTGACAGAGGCAAGCATTTTGGGGGGGTTTTTAGGCTGTGACTTGAATTGTAGATCTAGAATTTTAGGGATTGATTTTGGAAAATCCAAGCTTGGAACAGTGGCAAGGGGTTGGGAAGGATCTGTGGTGAGATTTTGGGATGTAAAAAATTTTGATAAATAATTTTTTACAATAGAAGCTCCAGTTTTAAAAAGAGGAAAGGGAAAAGTGAAAAAAAAAATTGACTTTTAAAAGAGCACCAACGGTGTTTAAGAATAAAAATGAAAAAAAAAAAAAAGATAAAAAAAAATTGTCTTACAGTGAAGTGCAAGCTAAATAGTTAAATAATTTTGTCATCCATTTATAAAGTATTTTTCTTCTGTTTTTATGGGGTTAAATTTTAAATTCTTTTTTATTCTATTAATGTCTAAGTTTTTCGTCCAAATCACCTCAAGACACAATGATTTGTTTTTTCCAATATGAAGTTTTATGATTTCACTTTCTTTTTTTTTTTTAATTTCCTACAGTATTGTTGACCCCACCTACTCCATCTACAGTACTTACCTAACTTACCTGTGGGAAAAGCATTACGTCTTAAACCAAGCCATCTTCAAGTGTAGAAGCTCTTCATGCCATCTGAGCTACAAGTTTAGTTTACTTGGTTAAATGAAAAGAGTGAGAAGATGAAACATTAAGTTATCAATTTCCTCCAAATTTGATAAGGAAAACTCAATTTCTCACCCGAATAAAAATAGGTTTGGATAGTGAAATTAGAGCTGATACGAGAAATCAATTTTGATAGAGAACTTAATTTCTTACCTCGATAAAAGTGGGTTTGAAGTGTAAAATTCGAGTTGATGGGAAATATCAATTTAAAATATAAACTAAACCCTAATTAAAAATAAAAACAAATTAAAAAAGAAATAGAATATGTGAGTAAGTGACAATCTTTTAATTTTATTTGTGAAATTAAAAATTTACACTATCAGTATATTAAAAATAAACTCTTAAAATATACTTCATCCAATTTTTAAATGTAAAATATTAAATATATTTTTTACAAAACTATAACTTATAAAATATATGTTTTAGTAATTGATTAATGGCTTGACTTTGTTCTAATTTATAAAATTTATTTAGTGAATTTTTATAGTTTTAGATTTATATTTGTTTACTTGTTTGCATTTTGTATGAAGGAACTTGATATTATACTTTGTTGTTATTAGAAGTTTCATTTGAAATTGTCAAAATTTTTTTATATGTACATTGTTGAATTTATTGTTAATTAATTATATTAATTCAATATAATGAATTATTAAATATTTGTCCAAAAAAATTATTAAAAATTGAGTATTTATTTTAATTTCTAAAATTTCAAAAATATAAATGGGGAATAAGGATTTCTCATCCCAGGTATGATTCATGTGGAAATAAGGATGAGCAAGGACTTCTTCCTCGAAACAATGATTTAACGGGATGGAGTATGACTATAAGAAGCATGGTCAGGGATGGGGAATCTATCTCCTACCTAAAACTTTTTGGTTTGATATCTTTTTTGATGAAAAAGTGGAAAG